TTTAACCTGCAAAAGTATCCGACTTTTCCAGAAAAACCAATTCAAATGGAGTCGATTGTCTGTCATCAAGCAATATGTGAGTAACAACCCGTTTCATTTATTCATGGATTCAATTTAAAAAATGAAATGCTGATTTATTACCTTAACATCAACAGAAGCTAGAATATTGATGACACTGTAAAATCATATACATGTTTATGTATCCAAATAAGTTGAAGGTTTGGTCTGTTGTTTCGCCTAATATCTTAATGGAAAAAAGCGCTTGCAGTAGTATCTATAAGTGATCAGGCATAAACAACAGACGTATCTGACCGGTCATATAAAATGTTTATATTCCTCAACATAATGACTTACAATGGAAACAGTTTTCAAAATAATTTTTTGTCACATTTTATCCACTAAATGAACATAAGGTTTTGAATACTCTACATATTCACGGATAGACAAGGTACGAGTGTGGTGGTTCCCAATGGAAAGAGCTTATACAAAATATATTGTCAGTTTAGTTTATTAATGATATATCAAGATGATTAATAAATAAACCTAGATGTCTCTCCGTTAGTAAAACCAAAGGTAAGAAAATACGGTTAGCAATACAAAAGGTATATTAAACAAACAGACACTAACAGTTACTATAGAATGAATGTTACTTGTAAACTGCCTCGTGAGAACAACGACCACAAACTGAGTTCACTTGATTGACAGGTGTTCCTCTGCAAGTGACTGCACCAATGACGTTGTAGCGTGGCGTCGAGTTGAGGTTAACTATGAACACCGCTACCAAGAAACACGTGCCAAATAAATCAGAAGGCGAAGGTTGAACGTAACCAAAGAAATCCATAAAATCTCCGAGAAGCCAAATATCAGAAGACAGTTAATGGACCAAGTCGAGGTGTATATTTGCTGGCGATCTCGTGGCATCGACAGGATACCAAGATCGTGCCAGGATACAACCTTGGTTACAGAAGGTAACCGAATTCGCGCGAAGTTACAATAGAAGTGTAAGTAAAAGAATGGAAGCACAAAATAGCTGTCATTAGCACAGTCAAACAAATGCACGTTAAAACAAACACTGGTACAGTTGGTTATAATAATAATTGTTTTTATTAAACCAGTCGTGTTCTCGTGATAAATGTGAGTCACTAGAACGTAATGAGGAAGACGGCGTCCAATAGTATTATACAATAGTAATCCGCGCCAAAAGTCCAACGTTGAGTCGGAAGGCCTATAATGAAGTTATAATACTATTATAGTCTCCAATCAAAACGCTGGCCAATAAAACAGAAGAACAAAAGGCGAAGACAGTGTTCTACATTTTAAACAGCGCGGTAGTAGAATCGCACATGAGTCATCGAAACAATTATCACCGTCATTTTACCAAGTGATCAAGCAAAACAACAGTTATTGAATGAAAATGTGGTTACAAATAAAGTGTGACAGATTACATGCAAAAATGTGGTTTTTATTTCTGCTGTTACAAAAATCACTGAATATATGTCACCATACGAGTCAGATTGTTTGCCAATATGAATAGTGGAGATTTTCAATCAACAACAGAAACCATGAGGAATCGCATAAAAATTAATTTTAATTACACGTCTGACAATTGTTTGTCGCATTATTTTCATCATCATATATACAGACTAAAGCAAATTTGAATATACAGTTAAGTGATTGGCAGTCACCTGCAGACTAGAACTACACAGCGACTTGAACACCAGAGAGAAGGCACAAGTATGGGAGAAAATACTTTATCCCAAGGTTCATTTTTGTACGGAAAATCAAGGGTATTTATAGATGTTGGCGTCTGTTAAATCAACATCATATTTCAACCAATCCGTTAACGTCATATTATGCTACCGACCAATAATAGCACGCCACGCTGGAATTCTCGAACTTTTCATTGTACTCTGGTTGGCCAGGAACCTTCGGCTCCTTTTGGGCCTCTGGAGGCTCCATTGAAGTTCTCCGGAAGCCGACTCAACACATCAGCCAACTAACGCAGTGAGATGTTTAGCATATTGAGCTAAGATGTTCTAGTTTTGTCAAGAGTAGATCTGAACTACTCACACCACTGTATTGTGTATCCAACCATTTATGACTGGACTGATGTTACGACCATGCTATGTATTACTGAGATTCACATAAACCACTTGATCGTACGCTACACAGGATAGGTTTCTCCTGTCACAAAGCCATAGGTAACCACACTATTATTTGTAAAGTCTAACCACTAAAGATGAATGGATGTAGAGTGTTTTACAAGCCATGTAACAATGCTTCACGTTTCTGCCGTTCAACGCATGTAACATGCTTATAGATGGAAACTGACGAGTATTGGTAGCGGAATGGCATAGTGTTCATTGTCACTTGCACCACGTATTTTTGTTACAGATAAATCGGAAAACAAGTTGGTCATGAATGGATGAAACAACTTCTTTATTTAAAATGGACAGGCTATTTGTCAGTGTTTAAAGTTCCCTTCAATAAAACTTTTTAACAGAAATGAGTTTCTGAGTAAAATATAGAATTAAATTTAAATCACTAATACAAAATGGTTTTGTGTATTATGATATAAAGTTTTTAACCAAGTGTTTACTATAGACTTACCAGTATTTCGTACCATTGTAATATGTGTGAATATTTGTGCGCATAGACTGAATTTTATGGACTACTCTGAGGACAATCATTCGAAGTTTTGTCCTAAAATTGTAATCTACAAGATGGCAGGTGGTAATGAACGCCATTTTCTTTATTTTTTGCCTCTAGGTGCCGTGTGCTTAGAATAGTACACTCCACACTACTATGGACTAAATTTTCAGTTTAAATTTGACCACAATCGCATACGTCTCTGCAAATACAGAATGTGAGTAGTATGTGTAGTCTAAGACAATAAAGAAACGGGAAACATTTTTGTTCACAGATAATCTGTTTCATTAGAGGTAATTTTATGACTGTCTTAATCACCTTTGTAATGACTTGATTCGGTCTTGTGATCAGACTAGAGAATGAATCATTTTCAACGTTGTTGGAAGATGGATGTCGTTGTTAGGTCTTCCGGAGTAATCTAACCTTCATCATACGGAATCGTAGCTTTTTATGTGAAGACCGTTTCCTCTCAGAACTAAGTTTAATTGGTTTTCTGCGGGTAACGTTATCTTACTAGGGTTTTTCCTATGGCGTGGTAGTGTTGGTAATCCTACACCTAACTCTTCTCCTTTACCCCAGTTTCGGACCGCCAGCGTCCCTAGATAATATTCAGCGTAGTCGTAGATTTGATTCCAGGTACCAATTGTTGTCATTTTTATAGATCAGTTAACAAAAGGCATCGAAGTACTTGACAGTTTTTAGAATTTTTAAACTGTGTTTACACTTATTTATTTATTGAGATGTCTGACTTTATAAGTCAATAGTATGTTCATTTGAATTGTTAATTTGTTTCTTGTTACTTTGTACGCATAAATTAGCTTCACTGCAAGTCATCCTATTGTAAAAATATCTCCACGTTATGCTAAACCTAATGAATTAGAACAATGTGAAGTTATTGCTGTCCTCGTCAATGGTGATGTAATTGTTTTGACGAGTAATGAACATGAAAAGTTTTCATTTGATCAATGTATTGTAGAAAAGTAAGTTGTAATTTTGTTGAGATGGAACAATGTTGAACTTCTATGCGTATTTTTTTTTCATGAAGATTTTTATCAAATATTAGAACATATTAGAGCATAAATAAAGAATTATTATTTCTATCAGTTGAAGATGCCCAGATAGTGTTATATCAGAAAGTAACCATGTTCCACTTTCGTCTTACCAAGTCGCAACATCTGTGACTAGTGTCCAGCATGAAAGAGTGTTGAATAAATTGGGTGATAAGTGTTCGACCCACCTAAACTCGTGTCGCATGATAGTATCATTTATTTAATGGTCTCGAAACACAGCATATTTATGGAGTACCAAAAGTTTGTTGTGGACATCAACCAGCTAACTCAATGAAATGTTTAGCATATTGAGCTAAGATGTTCTAGTTTTGTCAAGAGTAGATCTGAACTACTCACACCACTGTATTGTGTATCCAACCATTTATGACTGGACTGATGTTACGACCATGCTATGTATTACTGAGATTCACATAAACCACTTGATCGTACGCTACACAGGATAGGTTTCTCCTGTCACAAAGCCATAGGTAACCACACTATTATTTGTAAAGTCTAACCACTAAAGATGAATGGATGTAGAGTGTTTTACAAGCCATGTAACAATGCTTCACGTTTCTGCCGTTCAACGCATGTAACATGCTTATAGATGGAAACTGACGAGTATTGGTAGCGGAATGGCATAGTGTTCATTGTCACTTGCACCACGTATTTTTGTTACAGATAAATCGGAAAACAAGTTGGTCATGAATGGATGAAACAACTTCTTTATTTAAAATGGACAGGCTATTTGTCAGTGTTTAAAGTTCCCTTCAATAAAACTTTTTAACAGAAATGAGTTTCTGAGTAAAATATAGAATTAAATTTAAATCACTAATACAAAATGGTTTTGTGTATTATGATATAAAGTTTTTAACCAAGTGTTTACTATAGACTTACCAGTATTTCGTACCATTGTAATATGTGTGAATATTTGTGCGCATAGACTGAATTTTATGGACTACTCTGAGGACAATCATTCGAAGTTTTGTCCTGAAATTGTAATCTACAAGATAGCAGGTGGTAATGAACGCCATTTCCTTTATTTTTTGCCATTAGATGCCGTGTGCATAGAATAGTACACTTCACACCAGTACGGACTAAGTTGTTTGACTGTTAACCAGATCTCATTATCGTGATAATAATTTTTTTCTGACGCTTGTCTTAATTTCCATTCACATAACATCCTAAAATGTTTAGGTAATACTATTGTTATTTTATTTTCTAAATTTTGTTCCAGTGGTTTATGGTGCTCATCTTTAGGTACCAACGTTGTTGGAGTTTTCACCACACGTTCAGGCATGGCTTTTATATGTAGACACACTGATTAAGTAAGCATTGAGTTAATTTATTCGCATAAGTGCTATGTATATGGTTGGTTTCTAATATATCTGACAGTGACTGTTACTGACTTGGTAGGCGCTTTTTATTACCTCAGCCTACTTCTACACTTGAAGAATATAGAAAATAGGCGAACATGATCCTTCATTTTTCCAGATGTTTCTGAGAAGCGTCTATTCAATGCCGATTTAGCAAAACATTTTCACACTTTTCACGAGTTTCTATAGACTTTGTTGAATGATATTCGTTTCTCCATTTTCCTATTGATGCAAATGAGAAATTCTTGAAAAATGAAATCTTCCTTTTTTCTTGACTCATTGTAAAGTAGGCACTGGATGTGAAGTAAAATTATTGTTTTATGTAAGAAATATGTGGGTTATGCATAACTGTTTTTCTATGATATCGATGAGTCGCTCTAGGAAGAGATCTTTATCACTCAACATTAATTTGTACGTATATGGATAATCAGGATTCAACTGTTACTACTACAACATATTTTGTTGGATAAATGTGGTTTTATGTTTATCCTTATTAGTGAGAGTTTGTCTTCTGGACAGTAATACTATGAAGTGCCATATTCTAAGGAACTATGGTGAGTAGAACACAATTTTCTCCTTTGATTACGCACTAAGTCACACCGTCACTTAAACCTTTGTCGCTTCAGTAAGAGAGCAGAGCAGACTGTTCTTGACGAGAACGCTTTTTCTGTCACCATAAGGAGTGGAAAAGGCAATACTCCTGTCCTGTTTATGCCCAATATAAGTTCGTATAGCTGGCATTGTGCTACAATATTTGTGTTCTGGTTAATCATAGTACACGGTCCTCCATGCATAGGTGGATTGAGCACAATTTGAACGTGGAAACAAATGATTCAGAGTAGTATGAATCGCATAGTTGCTATTGATGATAGGTAACTAAATGTAAATTTCTTGCGATGACTAATACAATTTACAGTTCTATCGAGGATAGACCCACGCCACCCCTTTCTTTGGCCACGGTAGCGCCTGAAAACTCTTCAAATCGTTCGTTGCCGTTCATAGATGATCCTGGTTTATGCCTTAAACACTCTCCTGATGTGGCACTCTTAGTCGATAATGATGATGTACACTCACTCATAGTAGCAGCAGCCGCTGTTGAGACTGAAGATTCCAGGGTTCATCAAGGTTTACCGTCAGTTCGTTCTTCTGGATTTGACACTCCACCTGATTCAAGAAGTAACCGACTTGTAGACACCTTTGATTCTGTATCTAAAGCGACAGACGAGAATCTAATTGATATAGAACAAGTTATTTCATTACCAGCTGTTGACGATGAGTACCTTCTAAAAACTGCCAACGATCGTCATGTCGATACAGTAGTGAATATTGACCTTAGATGTATTTCTCCTCCAGACAAAATTCTTCCAACAGATAGTGGCGAGTTAATATCATCGAAAACATCTGTTATGTTCTCTGCCGAAACAGATCTCCCTGGAGTTTCTGACGTAAACGTTAGTGCTAAGTCTGTGATACTACTACACGAGTCATCAATTAGTTGCAAAGCAACAACAACTCAGTTCTTTGCAAATACGAAACTTGTATCTCCTGTAGTGGCGTCTGCTGAGAGTTCTATTGACATCAAGCGTGAAACAGAGAATCAGAAAGATGATTGTTTTATTCAGTCTGCTGATGATGATAAGAAGTTTAAGACAACTACATCCATGTCCCCTTTAGTTGGGTTAGACAAGCAGATACAACATCCATTACCAGACTTTAAGGATAGTAGAGTAGCTAAAGAAATGACTCATTGGAACATAGAATGGCACCATAACACTCCCTACGCAAATCATCATCGAGTGTGGGAAAGATTAATAGGAAGCATACGTAGACCTTTGAGCGCAGTATCTATGTCCTACGAGACACTCACCACCTGTTTGACTGTAGCAGAAAGAATACCTAATGATAGACCACTCTTACAGACGCGACCAAAATGGACACAAGGAAGACGAGATTTACAAGTTCGCGGTCCAGTCTTGATTATTGGGGACACTTATGCACGAAATAACTGGCCTAAAGACCTCGTGGTAAGCTTTGACCCAGGAGGAGATGGTCAATGGAAATAAGCGAAGATCAGAACGCGGAAAGGTACAATTATTAGAGGCATACGTAGAATTTGTTTATTAGGAGCTGACGACCGAAAAGTAGAGAATAGAGAGACTTTTCAGAGTGACTGTGGCTAGAGTAAATCGTACCATTGTCACCTCTGAATGTTTTTACGTTAATACCTAATCAGTGAAAGTAAGGAAAGACATGCTGTCTTTGGGGGGCGGTGTTAAGTTTCTTTTACATTGTTCCTACATGTTCCTTTTCTACTCTTTTGTATGTTGTTTTATACTACTTATTTACATTCAGTAGGCAGCTGTATGCCCAACAATTTTCACACTTACGTTGTAACTCAAGTTGTGCTGTAACATTCTGGAATGTTCACAGATATCTTTAACGTTTAATTTACTTATCATTGTATTTATCATTATAATCACTGTAATTTAATTACTGTAACGGTTATACACTGTTTTATGCATTTGTTTAAACGCAACAGTTTCCATATTGCTTGCTCTTGGTTCTAGTTTCGGTTGTTTATAAACTGTTATCAAATTTAGACACAGCTATCGGCTGTCTTTGGACTATCGTATGTTGTAATCATTCTTTATGTTACCTTTACAGGAAGCCTTTACTATTTTCCTTCTTGAACGACGCGTTTAAACGCCTAGACACCTCACAAGTTGAGGTTTGTAACTAAATTTTATGTATTATTCAATAAAGAACCGCTTTTGTAGACAAATCGTTGTTTTGGAACTTCGATATTGCGCGTATCTCAATCGGGGTTACTTCGAAGCTTCGATAGAATTAACAAAGACAGATGCTTGTTTTGATGCAGTAGTAATTTGTGATAGGCGATCAACGTTCATGAATGTGTATAATTTTCAGATGATTTGATTTGCTATCATAAACCACATCACAAACCAACTATGATAGATGTTCGATTGTTAGAACTGCGTAAACTACATTAATTAAAATTAAAGACAGATATGCCTTCGAAATACAGACTGAATCATATCCTAAGGATCAGTAAGATTTCCGTATGAATTTTCTTCACTTCCCAAAAATAGTGATACTGAGTAGAAAAATGTAGTTGTCGTCACATCCTCTAGTTGACTACGGCAGAATACGACTTACAACTAACGGTACTCGAACGTGTAGAACGCTACAATCGCAAATCAAAAGACGGACGAAGCAAGGAAGGTGATTATTAAGTAGGAAACAAAAATGTACAGAAAGACATGTGCATTTATGATTATTAGTATTAGCTATAACATTATTATAATCCGGCCAACCCGCAAGAAGGCGAGCTATGCTATTGTCCAATGGCAGCATGCCACGTTGACATTACAAAAGGCTGTATCAGGTTATTCGGTTCCTTTCGAGCCTCTAGAGCGTTTGTCGTTCTTCTCAAAGCAATCCCAAAATTAATCACCATGCACGATAATGACACTTAATAAACCAGTATAGTACAAGTATTTCATCACATAACAAACATGGTAATTGGCTTTCTGTCAAAACCAGAAGATTTGTACGTGCTACTGAGCCGACGGTTTAATGATGCTAAAATATGCTCACGATCTGACATCTTACACAAGACACACTTATGTTGAACGAAGTCATGAATTGCATATGTGGACTGATAAGATGTAGACAGGTCGAACACGTTACATCAAAGGTTTATCGTAGCACAAATTATCTTAAGTTTTCTGTTGAACACAGACGAGGGAAATAGACTATAAATGAAGAACATGTATCTGAAGGAAAATCAAATGACAGACGGTGACCACTTCAACTAACCACTAAAACCAAGGACAAAATACATGGCTCTTAGTTGATGTGTCGTATTATGTGGTGGATTAGTTCAAAATGGGAATTTTGAGCAGCATCCACGATATCTGCGATTCACCTGTTTTCCATACAGATACGTCTGTTGTTTATGCCTGATCACTTATAGATACTACTGCAAGCGCTTTTTTCCATTAAGATATTAGGCGAAACAACAGACCAAACCTTCAACTTATTTGGATACATAAACATGTATATGATTTTACAGTGTCATCAATATTCTAGCTTCTGTTGATGTTAAGGTAATAAATCAGCATTTCATTTTTTAAATTGAATCCATGAATAAATGAAACGGGTTGTTACTCACATATTGCTTGATGACAGACAATCGACTCCATTTGAATTGGTTTTTCTGGAAAAGTCGGATACTTTTGCAGGTTAAAATGTCCTTTGACGGTGGAAGCCAGCGAATAAGGTGTGACCCGATCACTCTTAATATCATTTCTGTTCATGCACCAGAATTCAGATCACTCCACATGGTCTTCAAATTTATCCTCATTTAAAATAATATACAACCGTCCGAGATTTTGCTCGATCGCGATGTCAGTACGATGATTAAAAGTACTCGAATTAATGTACAAACTTAGAATTTCCGAATCAGTCAGAACTAGATGAGTGAATGTACTACAAATGAATGTACTATATTTGCAATTCGTAACCAGTGCGCAATCAAGTACGGAGGAATCATCAGTTAGTACAATTACCACAGCTACACAACCGAGCAACTCCTACACTTCACCGACCCTACCCAGTGGTGAGACTTTTACAAGCACGCCCTATGCTACCCACATTCACTATCTACCAGTAAACACATTGACAACACAAATGTGGATTGTTTTAAAATTATATTATACAATATCAAATCACATTTGTACAACATTAGAATCACATTGTTGTCCAGTGTTCTCCTCTCATATTCTCCTTCGTGACCTGCCATCTTACCCCTATCAAAGGAAAATAATTAGAAAATACAAATAAGCATCATTTTTAAATTGCATTATAACACGCATTTAGATTATACTAATCAGCATGGTGGCTGGCAAAACAGTCAATATACATGAGACCTTAATTTGATAACTGTTATCCTAATTATTATAACAATCATCATGTAAGTTAAAATACTAGGCAGCTAATCGAAGATATGATGATCGTCATAATATTTAGTGTAACAGTTATGAGAAAATATAACACAACATATAACGAGTTTATTATGACAATAGTCATCAAAATACTTAGGAAAATAGGTAGCATGATATTCCGCACAATAGGCGGAATAATTGTTCTCATTACCGAAAGTAGAACTAAAACAATAATGGTGAGAATGGTCGCGGCCATAATTGTAATCTTTGTACTAATGATATGAACAAAAAATCACAGAGGAAAAATAGACAGCCGTTCAGTGAGTGGCCAACTTTCAACTGATTTTTCTGACTGTTGCATGCTAATTAATACATAGAACTGACATTTGAATTTACACGATCGATACCAATCAGGTGACTGCCAATCACTTAACTGTATATTCAAATTTGCTTTAGTCTGTATATATGATGATGAAAATAATGCGACAAACAATTGTCAGACGTGTAATTAAAATTAATTTTTATGCGATTCCTCATGGTTTCTGTTGTTGATTGAAAATCTCCACTATTCATATTGGCAAACAATCTGACTCGTAGCTTGTCTATCCGTGAATGTGTAGAGTATTCAAAACTTTATGTTCATTTAGTGGATAAAATGTGACAAAAAATTATTTTGAAAACTGTTTCCATTGTAAGTCATTATGTTGAGGAATATAAACATTTTATATGACCGGTCAGAATGAGTTACACCTGATATGCTCTTAGTAAACATATATATATATATATATTGGTCTCGGTTCAGCTGGAGACGTTGTAGTTTGTTGTTTTGAGGTCACTCTATTATATTTCTGTTACCATTTGTGCAGTTCCGTTATGGTGAACGAGAACGAACAGGTGGGACAAACAAATACATTCGAATACGGAATTACAGAATGCCTTAGCTTAGTAAAATCTGAGAACCATACAGTAAATTATTCATTTGCGAAATGTCAATCAATCGTCTCAGCCTTGACTATTCCTTCGTTTCCACACCAATCGCTCTCTCTTTTCATCCTCTTTTCTTCGATCTTATTAACCTTCTACTGCCAGACACTCCACTTTCGAGTGACGATACATACTACTTATATCTGTCGACTTATATCTGTAGCACACAACACACTGTGACTGTATTCAGTCTAATCAGTTCTTCTAAGTGAGATTAATGTCCACACCATATCCATACTATGTGGGTATGACACTGATTTATTATCCAAGAATATTCTTCATTTGATGTGTTTCATGAACATCTAAGTAAAGCCACAAAGTTAGATTTCTGGGTCCCGGTAGACAGTATATATACTGTGTTATATATATATATATATGTATATATTGTGTTCTATCTTGCAAACCTTTACATGTCTTCTTTTATAAGCCATGTTCTCTGTATTTATTGTTTCTCACTACCAATACTCCTAAAATTATTCCCCATATTTCTGGTTGTGTGTGGCCATTGGATTTCGATAAACGTAAGAAATTTCTGTAAAGTCCCAATGGTAATGTGCCTCTCTGAACTATTGTGACTGGATCTTAATGTAATAAGAACAAACTGACTTCCGTTGCTTTCCCAACAGAAGCTTCATCAAGTGAATGACATTTTCTTTGGAAGTCACCAGTAATGTAAAATATCAGTTGAAAGTTGATCACTCACTGAACGGCTGTTTATTTTCCCGCTGCGATTTTCTGTTTATATCATTAGTAAAAACATTACAATTATGGCCGCGATCCTACTAACCATTGTTGTTTTCGTTCTACTTTCGGTAATGAGAAAAATTATTCCGCCTATTGTGTGGAATATCATGCTTCCTACTTTCCTGAGTATTTTGATGACTACTGTCATCATAAACTCGTTATATGTTGTGTTATATTTTCACATAACAAACATGGTAATTGGCTTTCTGTCAAAACCAGAAGATTTGTACGTGCTACTGAGCCGACGGTTTAATGATGCTAAAATATGCTCACGATCTGACATCTTACACAAGACACACTTATGTTGAACGAAGTCATGAATTGCATATGTGGACTGATAAGATGTAGACAGGTCGAACACGTTACATCAAAGGTTTATCGTAGCACAAATTATCTTAAGTTTTCTGTTGAACACAGACGAGGGAAATAGACTATAAATGAAGAACATGTATCTGAAGGAAAATCAAATGACAGACGGTGACCACTTC